TAATTTAATAATACATTATTAATTTGTTAATAGTATCTTATATTTTAAATTTTACTCTATGATAATAATTTTATTAATATTATTCATAATAATTTATTATATATTTTTACAATAAATATAATTAAAAATATAAAGATTTAATGAATAAAAGATAAATAATATAAATTTATATTTTACAAATGATATATATTTAAATATATGTTTTTTTTAAATTGACAATTAAAAAGAACAAAGAGTACCAATTATTAAATAATTTAAATATTTTCCAATAATATTTTAGATATTAAAACTTACATATTTTTTTGTCTTCTAAATTTTTATATGTTTATGTATGTTTTATTATTTAAATTTTGCTCATTTTTATTTTTTTAATTTATAAAATCATGTGCTTTATCTCTACTAAAGATCCAAAAACCAAGTCTCATTTATTAGCTCGTAAATTATGAATTTAAAGTTAAATTTATTATATATATATATATATATAAGATTTAAATATTTTAAAAATATTTTAATCAATAAAAAAATATTTATGTCATTTGTATCGGTTAAAATTATAAAATCTAGAATTAAAATTTGCTACAATTAAAATTTGCAGCTACTAAAATAACCTATATATTTATATATGTAAAAAAATATCTACAGCAGAAATCTTTTACATATTGGCTAATAGAAAAAAAATTAACCTTAAAATCCGTCACATAATATATTATTATTCTCATTTTATTTTATCAGTTTATTGTGATTTGAAATGTTACAAATTTTGTTTTTATTTTTTATTTATTTTTTATATTTTAACCATTAAAAATCAGTATAAAATATATAATATTTTATAATTATTTGTCAAAAATATTTAGTTACTATTTTTTAATTATTTTATTAATGAGTCAAAATTTTAATTATTATTTATAAAATTATTTTTCAATAATTTTATAATTAATAATTAAAATACCTATTTTTATTTAAAATTACTTTAAAATATCATAATAAGTATAATAATAATTTTATTATTATAATAAAATCAATAATATAAATATATAATATATGAATGGGATAAACTATTTATATTAAAAGAATTTATATATAATATATTTTTTATTTATTTAAATAACACATATGCTATTTATATTAAAGGAATCTATGCATAATATATTTTTCAATTATTTAAATAATATATATATATATATATATATATATATATATATATATATATATAAAAGTTTGATTCTCGGTAAAAAATATTAATGTAGTTTCTAGATATAATTTATTCTAATGAAATGCTTAATTAAATGTAATTCAAGTAAGATAAAATAAATTTTCATCCTAAAAATATAATATCAAACTTTATAAAAATTACTATCTAATAAATATTCTTTTATATATTAGTATATTTTATTCATTTTTTTAATAGTGTGAAATAAAAATTCTATATCTTAATATAATTAAAATATATATATATATATATATATATATATATATATATAAAGTATTAAGCTCCGTACAATTAATAACAATTTAATTTTGAGACGAATAATTATACTTGTACATAACTGTCTAAAAATGTTTCACATACGTTAATCATTGTGAGAAACATGTTCCATATTTATATAAGATGATGATGAAATTTGAAAGTACATATATGATCACGTCTAAACATCATATATATACCACCTCAAACATCTCCCATTCAAAATATATTTCTACAATTTGGGGACATTTTTGTTATAAGCTTTTTATTTTCCTAGGAAAAATAAATAAATTAACATCCTAAGTTTGATATCATGTACATGTAAAACTTAATCTTTTGAACATTTAAAGTAGTGTTGTGTTTGACGTGGTTAGTATAAATCTTACTTTTTATAGTAAAAACACTTTTCTCTGAAAATATAAATCATACTCTAATATAAAAATCCAATTCAACTTTTTCTATGAATTTTGTTATAACCTAATGAAACAAATTTATTCGTCAAATAATACTAAATAGTTAAAAAAAAATTCAAATAATCTAAATTTAAAAACAAATGTAGAAATTAACAATATCCTTGGATCATAACTTTACAAATAGACTCTAAAATATTAAAAACAAACAAATGTTATTCAAAAATAGATTTTGTATTATATATATATATATATAAAAATTAATTTCACCTTCCAAACAACACTGGCAATGTATTGTATACATAACACTACCATAGTCTTTTTCCTTCATCCACTCTGACTTAATTCTTTTGTCTTGTATTAAGTTGTTTTGTAAAAAAAAAAGTAAGATTATTATTGGGTTTTCTCCTGCTCTTACGATGATTAAAACATCAAAATATCATCTTCTTTTTAGTGTTAAGTTGAGGATTCAAAAACATGTTCACACTTTGATGTGGATAAGGCTTTTTAGCTGTTTGGAACATGATCAACAACATTATTAACGGTAAATAGAAACAAAATAATAATAGAAGGACTAGTATATTATTTTTCACAAGTCATAAGTTAACATTTATTAAAAAAAAATTATAACCTAAAATGAGCTATATATTATTATATACTGCATATAATAATTATGAAAAACAAACAGATATTAATTAAACTTACAATAGACTTGCTTCCTCGTTAAGATCATTGGAGTACATACATGGAGAAAACATATGTATTAACAATCCAGACTACATAGAAGAAATTATCCAAATATAAATTAAAATAGGACAATAGTCATAACATGTAATCATAAAATGATAAAGTTGAATAATATTAAAAGGTGAACATCAACATACAGAGTATGTGAAAAAAATTAACCTGTAGATTGAAAGAAATTAATGTTCACAAAGATATTACAAATGCACATGACTGCCAGGAAGATTAAATAAAGATAAACTACTAAACCAAATTAAATTACATAAATTAAATTTCATGTACGATGTAAAAAGTTCCGTGTCAGGTAAGTCTCTTTATTAGGGAGACCTTAAAAGATAAAATATTTTCCAACCTCTTGAGCTAGCTTTTGAGAGATAATTTTCTCTTTAATACTTTTGTGATTGTTACATTGGTGTTTCATTGAAAGTATGTTTAATAATTGATATTTTTTAGAACCCTAAAACTCAGTAATTTTTTATTAAAATATGGGAAATCAAAAAGTAAAATTTAAAAACTTAATAAATTAAACTAATTTCTCATTAATTGAAAAATTAAACCTGAAGTTGTACTTTGATTTTAATTAAGAATATAAGGAGAAGAAATTAAGTATTTCTAATAAAGTTGTACCTTGATTTTTTCTTTTTTCTACGGGTGGAAACTACAATATGTACTAATGTACAAACTAAAACGGTCTCAATTAATAAACAAAAACGCAAGGGTATATATAATCAGCAATGGATACCTAAAAAAGTTGAATTAACCACATAATTTTCTATATCTATGTTAGAGTTGAGTGTGAATTGGATAAAAATGAGTAATTATCTTTATTATTAATATTTTTCTAGTTAATTAATAACAGCATTTTATTTTAGTGACAGAGAAAGCTTAAAGAATAATTTAGTTATTCAAGAAGTTGTATTCTTTCTTTCCATAAAGAAAGAATGTGAGGGAAAGATTATAATGATTTCCAAATTTGTATGCAAAAGCGACTTCTATTAATATTCAAATGACTTATAAATCAAATGTCACTGCCTTTTGAATTAGGAATCATAATAGGAACTACATTCTTGTTATAGATTAGTCATACACATTATTAGCTCACTATTTTCTCCTAATTTCTCATTAAAGTAACAGGAAAAATCAAAACCAGAACTGAAAGGAACCATTCTTTGATCTCTTGGGTAGGTTGTGGTCAACCTCTAATGGTGTCGCTGGCAGAAATACTTAATCGCTTTCATCACTCCATTTATCCAGCATCTTGGTACAGACAAGTCGACAACTTTTTAATCAACTTTCATTTGAGAGTTAAAAATATTTAAAAAATGTGTTATGTCATCTGTTAACTTTATATATAACATCATATACAGGTAGCCAACAGTATCATTATCTTTGTATAAGACAGAACCATCTAGGTGTGTGCTTGGAACTAAGTCACATCAACCTTGATCTACATTCTAGAGAAACAAATAATTTCTGCATCTGTTTATCAATTTTGAGATAGTTTTTCTGTCTATTGCACATAAACCAGTGACGTCATTCTAAACATGTGGTATATTAATGTTCGTAGTAATTTGTTGTTGGAATACCAAAAAGACACTTACAAATGAAACTCGTTTTTATCATAAGAATTTGATAATAATTTACTCTACAAAAATTAAGAACTTCGTAAGAGCTTACATAAGCTGATATTACATCAGATATATGATCTTGTTAGTGTATTTTGGTGTTGGTCCCCATCAAAGGTTTTATCCCAATACCTTTCACACCAACTACAAACATTTCAGAAAATTTAAATAATAAAGAAGTGTGTATTTTATTTTACTTTATGCCAAGATATACATCTGATGTAAATCATTGATGAACAATTTTAAACAAGGTCCACAGCAAAGTCTCCACCCGTGTAAATAATTAAAACTCGTCCTTAACAACGCCATAAATTCTCAGTGACGTGTCTATGAAAAAAAATTGTGGTGTGGCAATAACTCAGTAGCTCAAGGCTGTCAATAGGCTTAAAATTCTACCCCATACACTATGAAAAGACAAGGGAACCACTCAATTTTCATAACTCACTCCATAAAGACTCACAAATGATGCATCATACAGCATTCAATTGTAGGTAATGTGAAGGGTATTCTCGTCGTGGTCATAATCTTTATGCATACTCTGTGTCATCATGAAGTTAGTTTCTTATCTCATATTTATGCCGCTGACCTTTCTTCTTTCTCCATTATCTCTCCTTTTACAACTTCAATTCATTATCTTTCTTTCTCTCTCTCACACTCTCTCCCTCTCCTTTTCCACAGTGTTCTTCTTCTTCTTCTCTATATAAACACCTGGAAAAGCCGCCACAGTCTTTAACACTGTTCCCACTTTCTTAAAAAATGGGACGATCACCATGCTGTGACAAGGTGGGTCTAAAGAAAGGACCATGGACGCCAGAAGAAGATCAGAAGCTCTTGGCATATATTGAAGAACATGGCCATGGAAGCTGGCGTGCTTTGCCAGCAAAAGCTGGTAATCTTGTACATGTTGATGTGCATATATGTGTTGCAATTAGAATAAAATTTGAAGTGTAGTTCACTGTATTGTGATGGGTACTGTGTTCAGGACTTGAGAGGTGTGGCAAGAGCTGCAGATTGAGATGGACTAATTATCTAAGACCTGATATTAAGAGGGGAAAGTTCAGTGTGCAAGAAGAGCAAACCATCATCCAACTCCATGCACTCTTAGGGAACAGGTTTTGTATCTTCATAAAGTTATTTCTTTGTGTGAGAGTTGCTATGGTTATCCTATATAGTAAAGATTTATGTGTAGTTGCTTTTCAGTCAGTAGTTAAATGAGTTTGAGAAAATCAAGAAAGAGAAAGAGAAGAAAAGAGATTCTTATAATAACAGTATCATAACCCCTAAATTTTAGTAGTAGAATTTCTCTATATTATATGTGTATAATGATAATTCTTCAACATGTAACAAGTCTGTTTTTGTGCCTGAATGTTTACTGGGGTTTCAATTGATTATTTTCATTGTTTTTAATTCGTATTATTCTTGTATGAGTATGAAGTACTGGATTTTATGAAAATTCATGAGGATTAATTTCTTTATCTTACTTCTATTTTTTGTAGTGAGAAACAGTTATGTGCACACTCCCGTAAAGATATTATAATTTTTGAAAATCACAGTAGAATTATGATGCTATTGTATGAATCCTGCATATTTTATTGGTGGTCTTAGATAATTTACTTCAGCCATTTTTCAACAAGGAGCTATAATTTATTTGTTTTTCCAACTCTATTTTGTTGTTCAGAATGTCTTTAATGCGATGGTAATATCAATTTCTCATATCCTATCCACATTTCCAACACAAATAACTTAAATTGTGCCCACTTGTTCATAAATTTACTCCCTGACACACAATAGTTTATTCAAGATGGTCCTTAAACACAACAACATGCATGATCTTCTTCCTCATCAAACTAAATCAATTGCCTATGAAATGTCATTTCTAAGTTGAACATGCAAGTATTTTGTATTCTTTTGTAACCAAAAAAAAAAATACAATTAATAATAATAAAATATTAAAATAATTGTAGTATTTTTTTATATAAATTTAATACTCACATAAATTATCCATGGAAACCTTGTTCTCACCTAAATCCTCTGGAGCAGAATCTTCTTCAATCTCACTAATTTCTGTTTCTCTCGATCATTTGGCTTGCTCTTTCTAATATGCCTCTGCTTTCTAATCTGAATGTCATATAATATGATAAGAGGATAAATATAGCAAAAAATAAGAAGTATATATATTCGTAGAATATTTGTCGTATAGCAAAGAACAAAAGATACCAGTAGAAGGTTTTCACTGTAGAACGTGTTCATAATCATCATTATTTGAGTAGTAGTTTATGGATTATTAGGGCTTTCATTAATTTTTTTGATATGTTAGTGTTATGTTTTGTTGTGTGTCTCAGGTGGTCGGCAATAGCCACACATTTGCCAAAGAGAACAGATAATGAGATCAAGAACTACTGGAACACGCATCTGAAGAAAAGGTTAGACAAAATGGGAATTGATCCGGTGAGTCACAAGCCCAAGAACGATGCCCTTCTCTCCACTGAGGGTCACTCCAAGAGTGCAGCCAACCTAAGCCACATGGCTCAGTGGGAGAGTGCCAGACTCGAAGCAGAAGCAAGATTGGTCAGAGAATCAAAACTACGTAGCTCACGCTCATCATCAGCAGCAGCAGCATTGCAGCACCCTCTAGTTGGAACTTCTGCATTATCGTCATCGTCTTCAGCTCCAGTATTACCCTCCTCAACACGTTCTCTTGATCATGCTTGGAACAATGGTAGTAGTACTAGTACGGTTGCAACTAGGGTCAGTGACCTTGAGTCCCCCACTTCTACCTTATCCGAGAACAATGCCCCACCAATTATGACAAATGTGATTGAGCTTGTTGGTTCATCGGAGAGAGGAATAGTAAAGGAAGAAGGAGAGCGAGAGTGGAACAAAGGTTTTCATGAAAGCTCCATCCATATGGGAGAATACAAAGATGGCTTGGAGAATTCAATGCCTTTCACGTCTAGTCTGCATGAGTTATCAATGACCATGGCAACCACGTGGGGCACTACTGCTACCAGTGCACATGCGCATGCACATGTTGCTGAGGCGGGATTCACCAACCTTTTGCTGAATTCTAACACCGGTGACAGGAGTTTGTCGCGGGAGGGTGGTGGAGAGTCTAATAACAGTCATGGTAATGTTACTAATGGGGATAATGGTAATGGTAATGGTAACAGTAACGAGTTATACGAAGAAAGCAAGATCTATTGGAACAACATTCTTAATTTGATGAACTATTCTTCCCCTTCGGATTCACCGATGTTCTGACTGAGTTGTATTGGAATTGAAAGGTAAATAACTCTGAGTTGAATTTGATGAAAAGGTGTTAAATTTTTGTACCATTTCTCTATTAGATGTTATCAATATGTGGGGGCTTGTTCAAAATTTACACGGAAAATAATAAATGCAAGATTTCAACACCAGGAGAGACCAGAAGGAGGGTCCATTACTTGTGTTGAAAGTGTCTGAATTGCTGCATCCATCAAACAAGGCGTAAGAAGGGGACATGGACACAGGAAAATGTTGGTTCCAACGGTATGGTTGTATTTTTTGTCAATGCGTTCTCGTAGAAATAGAAAATTAAGAGTGTGTCGCAACCCTGCATCATCAAATGTTCATATTATTAAATTGTGTTGGAAGATTTGACTTGATTTTTACGGTTTGTTTAAGTCGTGGTTGAGGATGTGTTTGTGTAGACGTATTAATGATTAAGTCGTGGTTGAGGATGTGTTTGTGTAGACGTATTAATGATAAGAGGAATGATAATTTGACAACCCAATTTTATACAACTTTAACAAATAATCCATTTTTAATATTATAATAATAATTTTAACTTGTTTTTATTTTTATTAAATCTCTTTCATAATTATTATATTAATAAAATGGGTTGTTTGTTAAGTTGTTGGTTGTTATGGTTGTCAAAATATCAGCACCTACTGATAATGGAAGATAGAGAGCGGTGTGAGTTGAATGACTTTTATCCATAGTAATTTCCCTTGCTTGAAACTGTATACAAGAAATATCCAATAATAGAAGTATTTAGTATAGACTTTATTGGCGTTGGTTTTACGTCACAATCTTGCTATTCAAAATTTTTCCTTCATTGTATTTATTAGGGTTCCTCCCTATTCATTTGCTTGGCTGTCGTGTGTTCTCTCTCAAGGTGAAAACCACAACATGACACTTCAATTTTTTTGACTTGATTTGGATATTTTTTATGAGAACTTAATTGTCCATGATCTATAACTAGCATTTATCCACTTTTGTCGTTAGTGTTTAACATTTTCTGTGAAATCACATGAAATTAACACTTCAATTCAAGTAGGTATCTTAACTTGATTGATAAAATATTATTTTAATCATTTCAAAATAATGTATTTAGAATTCTTTAACACTTATTAAGTGATTAGGTATTGAATGAAAGGTTGAATAATGATATATTAGTGGCTGGCGTTTGAAAATTGGCAGAAAGAGAGCAGAAAAATTGTGGTCCCTAAGTGCCTATCCCCTACCAAGCCCCTATCAGAAATTGAAAGTTCAGAATAGGGAATAGGGATTAGGGCATAGCATGTGATTATGGGAGCAAATAAGATATGTTGGGTTAGATTTCATCACCTCACACGTCAATTTGATTTATAAGAAATGTTTGGTTTTTGACTTATATGTTAAGGTTTGATTTATTCTATTTGCAAGTCTTTCTTCACCCTTATCAATAAGTCTTTAAAACATTATTAATAACATATTTTATATTTAATGATTGTAGTATATTAGTATGTATTTCCTCCAAACTCAATTGCAAAAAGAAGAAGAAAACAATGCATTTAAATGCTTCCATTCTATATAATTAATGATATCATTTCATGAATATTCTTCAATCAAAAACGATTTTATTTTTAATCACTCTTTGAAAACAAAATATTATAGCGTGATTGGTAAACTAAATTATAATTATTATTATTATTTTAATTAGCAAAGCAAGGTAGTATTGTATTTGTATAATTATATGATGAAAGATCAATTTAATTCTATTGTTGCTTTTTATTTTTTAATCTAATCATCAAGATAAATTGATTGTTTGAATTAAAACTAGAAATATAGAATGATTATTTGAAGTTACTCTTAACCTAATTTATTCTGTATGACATTTTTACTTAAGCAGGTATTTATAAAAATTGAGAGTCTAAAATTTTTAACTTACAAGTCACTTAAAATCAAATTTTACACTAATGGGATAGGAAATTCACCCCTTTTTTTTCAAAATAAGTTATATATACTAAATTATTAACTATATTTTTAATTAAAATAATTAAGATAATAAAATCAACCTAATTCGCCATATTAACTACTGTCGAGGTCCAGTTATGTGAGATGGGCTTGGCCAACGTTGTGATACGGGCTTCTCTAAATTAGTCAGTAAAGCTTGGTGAGTTAAAATTGGGCCTATGTTGTGACACGGGCTTAGATTAAGTGGCTTGATTCAAAAAAACTTATTACTTTTTTTAATCATTTAACACTCATATAATTCAATTATTTTCACTCAATAAAAATGTTCACCCAACCGAACTGTTATTTCGTTCTAAAATGATAGGTTCTTTTACTGCAATGAACCTTGTGATGGGGTTGAATTGCAATTCCTTTTCCCTTTGCCATAAAAATTATATGAAAAGAAAACTTGGGCGAGCTTGGAGAAAATACTAAGGTTTGATCAACCATACATATATACAAATACCAAAATTTATTTATGTACAGGAAGATTTAGATTAAGCATCAATGGTAATGCAGTCTCCTAGGTGTGTTCAGATATTAACCATCCTAAAAGGAAATAAAGTTTTAATTACATTAATTTTGACAGCAGCTTTTGCCTTCTTCTTCTTGTCTTGACCCAATCTCCCACTTTTTTAAAAGTCTCTCTCTCAATTCCGATCTCCCCCAGAGTTTAAAGTTATGTACCAATTCTTGTTGGAATTCATTCTCTAGTCGTATACATGTTATTTCTAGAGAATAATTATATTTATAAATTTTAATTATTATTAATTATATACTTTAATTTATTATATTTATATTAATATATATATATAAAGAAATATTTAATTATGATATAAAATACTTATAATAATAACAACAATATTGATATATATTATAATACTATATTTAAATATTTGATTACATATATAAATTAATTAAAAATATAAAATATATAATTTATGAAAAAATATTTATTAAACTAATTTTTATTTAATTAATTTAAAATAATATAAAATTTAATTATTAATTATTTTTAATTTTTCAAAATATAATTATTTATTAAGATAAAGTTTGATATATAATAAATAAGAATAATAAATTAAAAAAATATAATATAATAAATTTAACATAATAAAATTTAATAAATTAAAAATATAAAGATCAAATGGATCCATTCTTCTGATTCCTAATCTAATACTGAGTGAGAGATGGATCTATTCTCATACATAGATTTAATTGTGATTCTTAATCTAATAGTGACAGATCAGATATGAAACATTAATTTTAAAAAATAAATAACAAATATACAAAGGAATGAAAGAATATAATTATAAATATATTAATTATGGTTAAGGTTTTAGGAAAAAAAATTATAAATATAAAATTTACTAAACTTTAGATCAGTTCCCAAGTAAATACTATAAGGAGTAAAAGAGACGAAGAGTTTAATGAAATAATCAAAATTCAGACCCAATATAATATCTGCACATTTAGATTAGACATCCAATGATATAGTTGTCCCAGTGTCATAGGCAGATTACATAGCAGATGTTTAATGGAACTTGTGGCAATGAAGAGACATGTGATTATACAAATAACAAACACATAATCTCAAAATTCCCAATATTTATTCATGTCACTTTCGATTAGGTTTCCTCTGATAAATGGCAATGGAGCCTCTTAGGGGTACAAAATTGACATAATAACAAACATATGCTACGCCATCCATCTTGTGGATTTTTCGTCCATTCAATTGAAAAATCCTTTGAGTAAAGGAAGTAGACAAAGACAACTATTAAGCAGAGCCATTTCGTATTAAACCTCAAAACAAAACACTTTGTATCCCAGTAACGACTAAGAAAAAAATTCAATTAACAAACAAAAAATTCAATAAGCAACCCCAAATATTCAATGGGGACCCCTTTGGTAGCATGCAACAGTTAAACACATAGGTGTTGGGAAAAATATGTTGAATCTTCCCATATGGTCAGATATGTGAAAGTGAAATAAAAGTGGAATAATTGCACACACCAATTGATAATGGAGTTCGGCCAATAATGCCTACGTCTCCGGACTACTGCAGATCTCTTAGTAGGAGAAAAGAAAAATACACAAGTGTTTACAAAACACTCTCAAAAAACACTCACAACTCACAACCCAATTACACCCAGAAGCTAAACTAAAACTCTCTAGTTTTTCTGCCTTTCGCTGGTGCCACTCTTTCTTCTCTAAGAGAAGTAATATTTTTGTGTAGGATGGAATGCTTATGCTTGCAGGAAGAAGACCAATTTATAGCAAAAATTGGTACTGTGCATTACCATAAAATATGTCTCGTGGGTACCTCATGCTTGAATAAAAAATTGGCAGTCACCCTTTTCTTCTGTGCTTTCAGTGCAAATGAGAAAGTTGGTTGCCCACCTTCTTTGACCAACAATCTCCCACTTGAGGACCGATTTCAATCTGTCCTCACACCTTGATCAATAGTAGTCTTCTCTTGTCTGTTATTCTTGTAAGCTAAGCTGAAGTTGAACACAACTTCGAGCTTTGTCAATAGTCACTTACCTTTGTTAGCATATCCGATGAAATGATAACGTATGTCGATGTGTTTGGTCCCGGAGTGAAATGCTGAATTTTTTGCCGGATGTATTGCACTCGACTATCACGGTGCAAAACACTCCTTTCTTGAATGAATCCCAACTCTGCCAACAATCCTTGAAGCCATATCAATTCTTTGTCGGCTTCATCACTGCTTACATACTCAGCCTACGTAGTGGATAAAGCAACAATCTTTTGTATCCGCGACATCCAACTAACATCTGTAGTTCCAACAATGAACACATACCCAATGGTGCTTCTTCGGTGATCAACTTCACCTCCAAAGTCTCGCATCTATGTAGCCCTGCAATTTTAGATCTCCTTTTCTAAAATACGGACATTTTTCTGTTGTGCCTCGTAGATACCTCGGAATCCATTTGATCGCTTCCCAATGAGCTTTTCCTGGATTTGACATGAATCCGCTTACA